GACCCGGGGCTCCCGGTGCCGCTGGCGCGGTGCGGGAACGGCTTCGTGGAGGAGGGCGAGGAGTGCGACTGCGGCTCGGGCCAGGTTGGGGCAGCGTGCCGGGCCCCCGGGGGACCAAGGCTGGCCCCGAACTCCCTCTACCCCGAGGTCTGGGGCGCTGCGCCTTCACCTGGTTCCTCCTTGTCTTTTCGGCCGCAGGAGTGCCGCGACCTCTGCTGCTTCGCGCACAACTGCTCGCTGCGTGCGGGCGCCCAGTGCGCCCACGGGGACTGCTGTGCGCACTGCCTGGTGAGGACATGCGAGGCCTGGGCAGGGTTAGGGGCCACTTGGGAGCTGGCTTGTTAGTCTTGTCTGATAGGCGTCCTCTACCCCCGGTTCCCTTATAGGGTGCCGCCTCTTTGTGCGTGGGTCTACCTGCCCCTCTGGTCCGATTCTCCCACTTCTGAACCGCCTTCGGGGCTGGCCCTCTCACTGTCTCTTGTCTCTGCCCTCACCCCTCGGGGTCATCTGCGCAGCTGAAGCCTGCGGGAGCACCGTGCCGCCGAGCCGCGGGTGACTGTGACCTCCCCGAGTTCTGCACGGGCGCATCCCCTCTCTGCCCCCCAGATGTTTACCTCCTAGATGGCTCTCCTTGCGCCAGCGGCCGCGGCTACTGCCGGGACGGCGCGTGTCCCACGCTCGAGCAGCAGTGCCAACAGCTCTGGGGGCCTGGTGAGACTGAGCGTGCCCTTGCACCCTGGGTTGGCCCAGTTTCCTTGTAAAGAGAAGATAAACCTGGGAAACTGAGGCCCGCCTAGTGCAGTCCCTGTCTGGGCAGCCCCCAGTACAGCCCTTGTTTCCTCAGGCTCCTGTCCAGCCCCGGAGGCCTGTTTCCAAGTCGTGAATTCCGCAGGAAATGCCCATGGGAACTGTGGCCAGGATGGTGGGGGCCGCTGGGTGCCATGCGCAGACAGGTGCAGAGTGGGTGAGAGAGCCAAGGCTGTGTGTGGGTGGCAGCATGGGACACTGCAGGCTGTTGACCACCCCCACTCCCTCCCTAGGGATGCTCAGTGTGGGAAACTGCAGTGCCAGGGTGGGGCCTCGAACCCACTCACACCACACACAGTGCCAGTGGACTCCACTGTTGGCATCGATGGTGGCCAGGTGACCTGCCGGGGAGCCTCCAGGCTCCCTGGTGCCCAGCTGGACCTGCTTGACTTGGGCCTGGTAGAGCCAGGCACCCAGTGTGGACCTAGAATGGTGAGCCCTGCCCACCCGATCCCTCTTTGCCACTTGAGTCCCACAGGCCCAATTGTCCCCACTCACTGCCCAGGGCTCGCCTGCCCACAGGTGTGCCAGGACAGGCGCTGCCAGAACACAACTTTCCAGGAGCTGGAACGCTGCCTGAGTGCCTGCCACGACCACGGGGTGAGAGCCGGAGGGGGAGGGTGGCCTTGGGGTCCCTGAGCTCACGTGACCCTCCTTCCCACCTCTTCTCTGCAGGTTTGCAATAGCAACCATAATTGCCATTGTGCTCCGGGCTGGGCCCCGCCCTTCTGCGACAAGCCGGGCTTCGGTGGTAGCGTGGACAGTGGCCCTGTGCAATCTGAAAGTGTGCTAGAGGCTGGGGGGCAGGAGGGGGGAGCTGGGGGCACCCACTCCGGACTCAGTCCCACCCTGTCCTCCACAGACCACGATGCCTTCCTGGCCGCCATGCTCCTTAGCTTCCTGCTGCCTCTGTTCCCCGGGGTCGGCCTGGCCTGGTGCTGCTACCGGCTCCCAGGATCCCATCTCCAGAGACGTCTCTGGGGCTGGAGGAGGTACCCTGCGTGCAGTGGGTAGGCTCTGCGGGTTCAACCTCCTAAGGCTCAGGTTCCTGCCTCATGAGCCTATTCCCCGGGTTCCCATTCCTCCAAGCTCTGCGGGGACTGTGGGGACCCCAGTACAGAGCCCCCCGCAAAAGGCAGTGGAGAGAAGCCATGAGCCAGAGACTCCAATAGATCCCTGCCCCACCATCCGCAGCTTGGAGCGGGGTCCTCTACTCCAGCCCCGTGGCAGCGCCTTGGCCACACGTCCTGTCCCTCTCCCAGGTGGCTGCCTCACCTTGACTTCATCCTGTCTTCTCCCCAGCTCCACTGGAGGCCTCTCTGCCTGTGTCTCATGAGCTTTCAGTCCGCCGCCACCTCCTCTGCCCACGTTCCCTGACGCCCCTGCAAGATCCCAAATGTGGGGCCCAGAAAGTCTTTCCCTCCATACCCTTGGCCTGCTAAGGTGCTGGTGGCCCTTGTGTTGGGAGCTTATCCCGGGCTCTCTGTGACCTGGGAGGAGAGTCACACAATACCAAACATGGCTGACCAAGGGCCACCCCTTCTTTGGGGTCCTGGGAAGGCAGCCCCTGGGAAGGCAGGCCTTGGAAGTACTCTGGGCGAGTTGAGGGAGAGGCCAGATTTTGGGCTGGAGATGGGGCAGAGGGTGTCTCAGGCAGGGGCAGGGCCCCAACCAGCTGAGAGGGCCTGGACACTGAGCAGTGACCAGGGGTCTGTGGATAGAGGAATGAGGTGGCCAGGGCTTGGTATGTTGGCATGGGGTACTCTTCACTGGGGTCTTGAGGGCAGTGAGGACTGCTGACAAGAGACACTGAAGGAAATGGAGGCCCTCGGAGATGGGACATGGGTGATCCAAGACGGCTTGGGGTTGTTGGGTGTGGCGGGGGCTCCTCGTGGCAAGGAGCACAGGACAGCTGGAAGGGGGAGACCCTCAGCCTTCTCTGGGACTGAGCAGTGCCAGCATCTGGAGAGAGCCCAGTGGCGGGGGGGGGCCCAAGCTAGGGGGGAAAGGGAGAGCTCAGAGG